GAGCAGCAATCCAGGCCCTGGGTCAAGCATGTGCCTGTTAAGCTCTTCCACATGTGCCATTCAGGCCCTTCCTGTTTGGGTTTCGCGTACTGGTTTTACACCTCTTGCCTCACATAAAACCAGATGACCCTGGAGAGACCAGGAGGGTCATCTCCATCACTGTCTACAGCATAGACTTCACCTCCTGCCATAAAAATGCTTCCTCACCTTCCCTCCCTCTCACCCCTGGCATTCCCGCTTTCAAGTTAATTGGAATAACACATCTGCAGCGAAACAACAGAAACCAGTGCATCCCCTCCAGACCCCTCCACCCGCTTCGCACCCCCTCCCCCTGGCTTTGCTTCATTGACTCCTCCAAACCCACCACATTTAGATGGGAGCACTTAACCTTCTGCAGAATATCTTTATGCTCCATTTTCCTTTCCATTAGGAAGGAGATGAAAGCAAGCAGAGAATGCTTTTGTACAGCTGCTGCTGCTGCCAGCAGATGTGCTCCCCTAAGTCTAGATGTGTTTTAAGCATAGACTTGAATGCTTCTACGTGTGAGGGGTTTTGGTGTGGAAGAAATGTACGGATGAAGATTAAGCAATGCTGAGTTTAAACCAGCAGCAATGGTTTATACCCAAATCGGTGTGATTTGTACTTATGCTGTTCTCCACTTTCTTATCAGAGACTCTGATAACCAAAGCTGCTGGGCTTGCAGTATTTTGAGTCTGATTTTCCAATTTCTGTGTAAGCATAACAAGGCAAGACTCATACTAACTGGAGGCCTTTACAACCTGAGGAAAAGATCCTTTATGAGCCTGCTTAGCTTTATTCACTGCTTTACTCCGAGGCTGAAAATTACTTCTGTGGGTTTTTCTTAAACCCCATCCATGGCAACAAAGGGAAAATGTATATATTTTGAAATCCACTTTGTAAATATATAATAATAATTTTAAAAGATAAAAATTAGAAGCTTCTGTTCTGAGAGCAGAAGATACAGCCCATGTAACTGATGAGCACTAAGTTCATGTATATTCCCTGAAGACCATGTTTCATCGCACTGATAACCAGTAATGAGTCAAAGCTTGGGAAGATACAAATGCAGGAATACTGGCTCTAACAAAGGCCATCTATATTGTGTTCTCCCAGGAGGCATTTCACCCACCACAAAGATGCCAGCACATCTAGGGTAGGAAGCACCTAAGTATAATACAGAGGGAAGTGAAGAGTCTTTTCTGTAGTTGAACTGCCAGATGTATTTGGGGTAGGAAGCACCTAAGTATAATACAGAGGAAAGTGAAGAGTCTTTTCTGTAGTTGAACTGCCAGATGTATTTCAGGTAGGAAGACCCTGTTTGGAAGCTCTTCAGCCCTATGTCTATATTCTGTGATTTAAAGCATGCCTGGCTGAAACCTGTTTTCCATCTCAGGGTAGAAAGAGGAAGATGGTGTGGGGATGAGCAGGGGCTTAGATCAGGACCTGAGCTTCCTCAGTTCAGACTTTGTGTACAGCTTGGGGCAAGTCACTTAGACTCAATATCCCAACTCACAGTATTATTGCAAGTGCAAATACTGCCAGGGCAGGGAAGAACCTGAAAGAAGCAGAGAGACCAGAGCAGCAGCAAACACTACCATTTATGATGGATTGGAAGGAAAATGTCTCGTGTTCCCTGGTACCTAACACAAATGAGCTCAAGATAGTGTTAACAAAGCTATACAATATCCAGGCTTTGGAAAGGCATGTTTCAGTTAAATATTTCAGGCAGGCACGAGGGGAACTCTGTGAGCAGAGCACTCGGGGGGGACCCATCTCTGCGTGAGGATCAGTCCACAAGCAAACTGCTTTAGTGGCTTGCCCAGTTCTGACAACAACAATCACTCTTCTCTCTCCTTAGTGCCATCAGGACCAAATCAAAGCTACATGAATTTTCTGTCTTTCTGTCCCTTCCCTTATTGCACCAGAGGCTCAGAGAGTCTGGCTCTGGCTTACCAGTCTCATTGTATTAGCTTGATAAACCACCCATTTACCTATAACTCAACAGACTGTAAAAATCCTCGTGGCTATTGCACAATAAGGAGAATAAATAATAATATGCCTTAACAAGCATCAGTCGAAATACCCAGGATTTGATGGACCCAGTGATAAACAACATATTTACTTTCCCAGGAATGCAGACAAACTAATCAGATTCAGTTGGCAGCTACGAAAACACAACCGATGAGAGGCTCAGCGCCGGCTCACACAATCCCTGCTAACACAGAGGGGCGTGAAAGCAAAGGACATTAAAAAGATATTGTATTGTGGTGTCCCTGGGCTGGATGCAATGCCCTGGCATGCTGACAGCTGGCTGGCAGCTTCCCATCCCTGGGAAGGGGGATACTGGTCTGCACAGCCCAGACAGCAGTTTAACCTCAGGGTCAGAGGCCAGTCAGGCGTTATCTACCGACTGGGTGCATTTCCTCTGCATCTGTGGCTTCGATATTCCCGAAAAGACACTGACAGCAGGATGAGAGCTAATGGGAGCTCTTCTGGTATTTAGAAATTTAAAGGCTCTCATTCATTTTTAATGACCTTGGAAACTCACTTTAATAGGAAAAAAAAATAAATACCTGCACAAAAACAAACAGTCAAAAGCAATTTATATTGTGTGAGAGAAAGGAAATTACTTTTAGCCTTCCCTACCTGATTTTTCAGGATTTCTAGCTGTTGGACAAGGAGACGATTGCTGTGTGCTTCTGTTAACTAAAGTGTAATTTTCAGGATAACATTCTGAGTATGAGATGAATTGTACTGTTGTGCCTTGGATGTGCACTATTAAACTTTCATCACACAGGGTGAAAATAATTCCTACCTTAGTAAGGTAAAAACCATCATTATCTCCTCCCTGCTCTTCAGCACAGGTAGGGTTTGACAGACCCTTGTCAGTCTGCATGAGGTTTAAGGCTAGTTTTTGAGGTAAGTACTTATTTGGTGTATCCCTGACATGTTTTAGAGCCACTCTAGGTTTCCAAGAGTGTCTTGGAGGTTCCAATCCTGTCTAAATTGAAGCAGCCTTAAATCTCATCGCATTTATGTTGCCTGCAAATCCAACAGGTAGCTCTCCAATACCTCGCAGCCAGGCAGGCAGATGTGGTCCTTGATTAGGTCCCACCTGCCCATCCCATACCAGAATTGAGAGGGCAGAGATGTCAGTAAAGCCTCCTTCAATGCCAGCAACTCTCTGCTGGTGGGTGCTCCAGGTAACCAACCTTCCCACTGGGATGGCCTTTTTCCATCAGCCAAGGCTGCCAAGCAGTCACTACTGGTTCAGACCACAGGGCCAAGGTTTGTCAAGAGAGATAGAATAAAGCCACATACAATTACCTTGGCATAGCTGAGCTCCTTTAATTGATTAAACTACAGCATTAATTTTAAATAATGCAGCCATGGATGGAGCCAAGATGACTGTCTCCAGCACAGGACTCTCCAACATTTTCAGTTGTACTGCAATTTAATCTTTTCTTTTGTTATCTTTTAAGACTATAAAATGCAAACAGTAACTGACTTGGCACTATTAATGGACCAGAGAGTTTTCCTCACATGCTTAGTTAATTATTATACAGACCTCATGAAAAAATAGTGAGCAGAAGACGCGTCATAAAGACTTTTTTGCCAGTTCTCACGAGTCAGTGATATTTACTGACTCCTCCTCACCCATATCACAAAACTATCCTTACATTTAACATCTTTACTGGCATCCTCAGTGGAGGGGTAGCCAACACCAACATAGCCTCTGCATTTTAAAGATGACAGAGATGGATGAGGTCATTTTCCCATCCCTCATGTCATTTCCCTCCCCATCTCCAAGGCTGGTCCTTTGGAGAATATCCTAATGGGGGTTTTGTCTAGACAACCCTTTAATTGACTCGAGCGACAGGACTTCCTCCATTTCTCCAGGGAGATCATTCCACTGCCCAACAGACCTTGCTGCCAGGAAATGCTTCCTGATATTGACCCTACCTCCTCCTTCCTCAGTGTCATCGCAGGAGCTGCACTCCGTTAATGTTATGTACAACCAGAGCTGTACATCCCATCCATCTCAACAATGTACCACACTTGGACCATACTTCCACCAGTCCTTCCATTTGCCAAGCTGTTAAACTTTTTTCCTTTCAAAGCCTCAGATGAAAATAATGATTTTCATTTACTCCCTTCCCCACGCATTAACTTGATTATCTTATGGAAAAGAGTTTTGATAGCAATGGCAGAAAAAATACAACCTTTTGGGAAGCCATGAAAAATAATTAATCACATGCTTTTAATTTACTACAGGAACAAAAAGATGCTCACTTGTTTTCTTCAATAAATTCAAAATTCAGAATCTAGGAAAATGACTTTTCCAAATGATTGTTTCAAAAGAAATCACTTTAGATTCATTTACTGTCAGGGTAATTACATAAACAGTGGACAACAGGTTAATAAGGTAGTAATAGACATATTAATAACGAGTAAATCAATTGTTATGGACTGTTCAATACTGTGCTTATTAGCCAGGTTTATATTCATCTATGCTACCAGAACTGATGAGCTTTAAATAATCTATAACATGTTATTCATGACTTGAGCATTCTTCTCTATTAATAATTTACTAACACTTTATAAACTATTTATAATTGCATTCTTCATATAAAAACATGATCTTTGATTCAAAAGTGAATGATAACCTGGGACAGTCTCTAATGTTCTACTCTAGTGACACACATGAAACTACCATGGAGCTGCCGAAGCACCATCTGAGCAAATCACACAGTCGCCGTGATTTGCTTCAACTGGTTTTGTGGCTCTTAGGAAACCTCACAGGCAACAAGAATTAGCTTGTAATTTTGCAAAACCCAGTAGTAAAAGATGCTTAAAGCATAGCTTATACTCATTGCGTTTGAAAATACCTTTTCAGCTGCTGATTTCGAACCACACTAGGAACAAAGACTAAGAAGGGACCACCTAGACTATCATTATACCAGTGGTGGTGGTATTATTATAATTATTATTACTGAATTGTCACTTCTCTTCACCTTACCAGTTCCATTCAGGCACAGAAACAAGCCCTGCTCTGCTCAAGCTCATCATGCTGAGAGTGGCCGAAGAGGTGCCAAGAGCACATGGAGCAGTGAGACTTTATCAGCCAGCAAAGGTCAGTGGTACTCTGGCTTCCTCAAAGTGGAATTGCCACAGCTGTACTCATCCAAAGATCTGCCAAGTCCTAGAGAAGGAAATGTCAAAGCCTTGGAAAAATGTAATCCATTAAATGCCACAGAGGAAAGAAAGAATCTGGTTTATTGGTCAGGCAAGGAATAACAAGATTGCACTAGGAGAGGTGGTTTTGTTAAAACCAAAAATTACAGTATCAGTGCTCAAAGCACTGATAACAAATGGTGGAAGTATTTAATCTAGTTTTGGTGCCTGTAGTTAAGAACAAAAACCTTACTGGGACGAGTGCAGAGAAGGGTATAAATACGTGATGGGAATGGAATGACTCCCTTATGAAGAGGTTAAGGGACTTTTTAAACAGTTAAAGACTAAAAATATGTTATGATGGCACTTCTTAAATGAATTCAGGGTTCAGGATGGTGAGGCCAGGGGAACAGTAAAGAAAGAGATTATTTAAATTGAAGGACACCATTGGAACAAGATCAGTTAATTATAGATCAACTATAAATAAACTTAACATGAAAACTGAAGTACCAGTATTGATTATTTGAGTATTGAAACCCTGTTATGGCTTTCTAAAATTAAGCAGTTATAGTAAGAAGTCTGAACTGGAATTTGATAAGCCTTTGGAAGGGATTGTATTGCCAAGGAGACATGAATCTTGAGTGCCTGCACATCCCCAAAGGGTTGAAAAAGGACTGAATTGCTCTATATTTGCATTATATTTGTCTTATGCATCAGATTTCTGTGGTTACTGTCTGGAGTGCAAGAAGGATTTATCCCTTCTTCATCCTTTTTGTCTTCTGACAGGCTTATGAGTGTTTGCCTGGGTTCAGTTTTGGCCTTTCTTTGAAGTATTGCCAACCGGCCATTATGAGAAACAGGGTATGGAAAGATGCAGTGATATACTTACAGATCCACACATCCCCAGCTTACATGGTGGCTCGAACTGATGGATGAACTCTTGGGAGAGGAATAAAGTTTGCTGAATATACCTAGATAACATAAACATGTTTTATTTCTTTAGATAACTCAATAGTACAACATATGAGTGATGGGGTAAAATAGAAAATGGAAAGAAAATTCTTCTGGGTATTTGTACTACCTAGATTTGATTTTGAACTCAATCCCCACATGCTTGCTAGATGGTCTGTCTTAGTTTGTGTCTGAATGACCTTTGAAGGCTTAAATATCCTGGACCCTTTTGAATCAAGTTTGGGGCTGCAATTCTTCCTCTCTGGAGGAAAAATAACTTCAGAGAGAGCTGGAACAGAAGAAGGATTTGTTACGGTTTGTAGATTAAGTGATTTATCCAGTTTGAAACAGCGACAAAAATTCCTGTTTCCCCAGAATAAGTCTGAATGGTGGAGAAAATTAGCCAACTTTTTTCAATAAAGTTTCTTTTTCCCCTTAATTACTATTATTGCCAGCTCAGCCCCATCACTCGACTACACTGAGGAGATTAACTCCCCCCCCCCCCAAAGTACTTTCTAACAATACTTATTAATTTTGCCGGAGGAGTGGTCCAAGTAACTGGAGTGTTCTCCTGTTCTGTCCACCCACACACAACTCAATCTTCCTCTGTGCTCGCTGAGGAACAGCAGCCTCCTCTTTCATGCGTCTGTGCTATAAGTGGAAAGAGGATTTGACTTGAAGGGACACTGACAACTGTTTTAAAGTCTTGAGCTAATTTGTTGTCAAAGTAATTTTTTTTTTAATACAATTTGGGGGTTTTCTTTTGAGTGACGAGAGAGTGAGAGATCTGTAAATGAAGGAGAATTAATTATTCCCAGCCATTACTGAAAATCCAAACACAACCAGGTTGCGTTGCAGCTAATGAAATTGATTTTAAACAAAAGTGAACCTGACCATTCGTGTTTCATTGTCTCCTCCGTGGTGCTGACAGCAGCCCTTCTCTGAGGCGCACTGCCTTCTCCAAACTTCACTTCTCATTCGACAGAATTTAGTATTAATCTGGCCACTTTTAGAGAAAGCTAAAAGATAACCCTATTTGCTCAGACTGTCTCAACTGATTAAGTCTTGTTTCCCAACTGATTGGGAAGATATATGGGGGTGACAAGCTTTTGTCTTGCAGAGATCTTCATGTTTAAATCTTTAAATTCTCAGCTTCTTTTACCACTCCTGTTTCTCCATTTAAGGAGGCACAATTTAACCAAACCTGAGATTTAGGAAGAGAAAGCTTCAACTTCGGTCTCCCCAAAAACCTTCCTAAAACATTTCTGGCACTTCTTTCTTAATCTGCCACTTGACATCATTCCTTTCCTGCTAAAAGATGTTGGGCTATAACTTTTGTTGTTGCTTGTTTTTAGTGAAAAGCATACTATTAGATCCATTTGCACGAAAAACAACACAGCAGTAAAGACAGGGTAGGGGGTTGCTAAATGCTGATGATAGCTGAGGCATATTAACCAAGAATAAATGTGCTGCTCTACTCTCTGGCTTTGAAATCACAGCTAAAAGGCTTCAAACCCTTTCACGGCCCATAACATACACAGAGTGGTGCAGAGAAATGTAATTAACTCCACCTCAGCTCTTCCCTGCCTCTGTAGCTGCATTAGGAAGGACTGTGTGAAACCAATTCAGAGTTATTCTGTTAACAGAAAAAAAGATGGCTAAATGAAATGTCTCCTGCCACGTGTTTCTAGCCCCAGAGTCTCTTCAAACCGCAGAGAGACACAAAACCCCCATTCAGGGGGATGCCTGTGGCTGCAAGGTGGCCAATGGAGGAGATAGGGAAGTGGAGGGCCACAAGCCAGCAGTGGAGTGGGATGCAAGGGGTATGCAAGGGGTATGCAAGACCCCGGCTTGGTAACCCTAGCAGCATGTTTGCCGTTTCAATATTTGAGAGAGAAGACAGTGGTCAAGAGATACTATCCATGGCCACTGAAAAGCAGTCAGAGCTATTTAGAAGTCTAGAGATGGCCTAATTTGAGTTTATGGTACATTGCTGGCATAACACCTAATTCAGTGGCCATAAAAAGAGCTCAAAGACATCTTGGAACCTGCATTGAGGCCGCACTTGCCCTAGAGACAGAAGTGACAGCTAAGCTACCCACGTAAGACACTACTCACAGGCAGAAACAATCAGCCTGGATAGAGTATTTCACAAAACAGTTTCCATCAGGCGCCAGCAGCTTTTTAAATATTAACCAGATCTGCTGGCTGCCTCTCTGGGATTACCGTCTCTGACACTGGTGATCCCAGTGTGTCAGTGTAATTTAGCAGCCAAAGCCTGGCTCCCAACGAGCAGCTTGCAGATGTGGATTTTAATTAAAAATATTTAATTTTCAGCTCTCACTTCCATTTGCTTTACCTGGCATTGTGGTTTGTGGTGCTCATCACACAGACCGCTGAAATGCTGCTCCAAGGAAACCTCAAGCAGGTTCTTCCGCCTATGGCAGCTCCATCGAATGGCCCCATTGAGCCTTGTTTTGTGTTCAGCCATAACAACCAAAATAGACAGCTAAAGAAAAAGCAAACTACATTAGTGGCCCAGGACCTACCTTGTACTAGAGCAATTCACTCAGAGATTAGCCATATGGAGGGCGTACCTTTCCGGCTCCTCCAAAACACATCCCTGGAGAACCTGTTTATTGTTTTTCCTCCACAAGAGACTGAAAACAATGGGCATTGCTCAAATCTAGGGGAGAAAAAAACTAAGTTTAAATTGGCACCTCGGGGTTGTAGCATAGAGTGTTTGACAACTAGCTCCAGAGCCCAGGTGACAATGTGTCCCTGTTCCCTTGAGATGAAGTGCTGCATTCCCAGAGCTCCTGCAGCCTCACAGGCTGCACCTCATATGGTCCTTACATAGTTCCTTCATTGTGCTATTTTCCTCAGAAAAAAAGGTTAAGACTATTCACCACTGAAAAGATGCTGTTTCATTTTTGATTAGTCACCACTTAATTTACCTCATTTCATTTCATTTCATTCATAAAGCTTTAGCTTTATGCAAAATTTTCACTAACAATTTTCTACATCTGCAAGTTCACTCAGTGGATAAATCAAACACAGCTGGAACAGGCTTGAGTGCAGGTCCTACTCATAAAACAGGTTCTACCTTTCTCCTGTGACTGCACAGTTCAAACAGTACACACAACATTCCTCCATAGACAGACACTTCTGAACTCAGCAGACAATTTGGAGTAATTTGCACATTATGGTTAATAAATATCTGAAAAAAAAAAAAGAATATTTAGAGATTACCATTAAGGTCCCAGGTTTTTAGGGAATGTGGAAATGCATTTTCCTTATGTGGAAAAACAGAGCAGAAAGAAAGAAAATAACCCAAGGACAAATAAGTGTCACTATGCTAAATATCCAAACCATTGAATTTTGAGGTGTTGCTAATTATTACTCATTTTGATTGAAAATATTGAATATGAAAGACATTTTGAAACCTTTTTTGTCTTTTTATGTCTTGTTTTATTTCCAGTGAGGAGGTTCATACTTCTTCAGTGCTTTTGGGAACAGAAATAAGGAGTCCTACATCCTCTAAAGAAACTCCTATTAAAGGGCATGAAAAACTCAGTGACCACAGTGCCAGTGAAAACTCATCCACAGAGAAAGACTCTGTGAACTGTTTGGGGGAAGGACAGTACATGGTTGTATAGCACCTGATGCAAGGGAGGCATGACATATGACCCTTATCACAAATGGAAAAATAAACATCAACAAGACAGATTGAAGAACACATCAGAAAGAGTAAAAATGAAGTTAAAAATAATCACTGATAACATTTAGCCTGGAGTGCTTTTTGCTTTGTTATTCTATATTGACAATCCCACCTAGAAATGGGTCTCTAAGACTTTTTGACTTATAGACAACCCAGTTTGCTCTACAGACCCCAGTATATCCATTGTCACCCATGGGAGGGCCCCAGGGTCTTTACTGTGCTGCATCTTTGGGGACGGATCAAATGGCTCCTAGACGAGAACAGAACCAGACATTTTCCAACCAAATACCTCTCAGGTCACTGAGCAATGCTCTGGTGGCTCTGCCTCGCCAGCAAATGCCCATGTTGAGGCACATCAATAAGCAGCTTTGCCTGAGGAACTTTCCTCCTTTGGGGTTTCTGTGCTGATGGCAGAAGTAGATGCACGCCCCTGCCTCAGCCAGAACCATGCATGGGCTAGCTGAAACCACTGATGCATGGTGGGAGCTGAGATCCCAACCTGTGAACGTGGTCATTGGCAGAGGCTTTGATCCACCAGAACCACTGGTGAGGAAGGGAAAGAGGGCAGAGATGTACCTGGCTGAGGAAGAGCAAACGAGGAAGAGCACAAGCCCCTTGCTAATTGCCACAGCTCCTCAATCATTGCTAATGAGTGCTACCAGCCACTGCAGAGCAGGAATGCAAGAGGACTCTTGAGTGAATTTCAAGCTGGTCTTTAGGGTGAATTGCATCAGCCTGTTGCTGTACTGAAGTCCCAGACACCAGATCCCCCATGCCAAAAAGCCAGAACAAACCCTAGTCTCCGATTGTAACAATTTACAGCCTTGGGACATATACTTACTCATTCAGATGAGGCTTCATGTCAAGAGCTACTGCTTTACAAGACAACTGGGTACTGCTGCAGATGATTGCTGCAGCAAAGGTGTCGGGGAAATCTCTCAAGATTGCCTGGTGAGTGCTGCTGCAGGATCCAGAGCACAACTGCTTCATCACTGTGCTGCTGGCTGTCATGTTGAAGGACAGTAAAATAATATCAGGTACTTGTTTCTACTCCATGGAAATAAGCTGTATTACCTCTACAGGGGTCAATTCTACAGCTAAATCGCACTGCATAAATACATGGAGAGCAAGCGACTCTTAAGAGTTCCACAGCTAAGAGCAGCCAGGTTTTACAGGGCACCAAACCTCATCCACAGCCGTCTCACCTGACAGACTGAACAGCGCAAACCACACCATGCCTGTGCTCCACACTAGGAGATCCCAAACAGACCCTCTAACAACCACTGCTGGCTTTTCTTTGCGTCCTGGAAAATCCACCAGCAGTGACTGGTGGATTGGAATTGCTACACTGGGTGGGCAAAGCCAAACAAGGGATACTGTGGATATCGGGCAGCTTTCCCATCCCTTCTTAAGCAACTCCAGGACTTAAGTAGACTCTGAGCAAAGATGTACTGTCCAAGTCCGTCTGCATGAAAGTCTCCAGGCCGACTTTCAAGGCTTTTTGAAGGACTGAAAGAGAAGTATATTGAGGTGGCAGATATTGACAATCATCTTGGAGCAAGAACATTCCCTTTCCACTTATCTTTTGCCTGCCCCACCACATCCAACAGTTTTAACATCCCTCCTTCCTCACCAACTATGCAATGAGTAGCAGATCTTGTTCCCAGAAAACCCAGACAGGGGCAGATCCAAATCTTTGTCCAAAGCCAGGCGATTTCTCCTTCCCCAGTCAGAAATGGCATGACTTTAATATGGTTATGATGTTCTGCATTAAACTTGCTCCCCAAACAAGGACCAATCTGTCATCAGACAGAAATGGAAAAGGGTCAACCTTTCCTGCCCCTTCTGCAGATAATTCCTCCTTTCAGAAGGAAAAGGCTTGAAAGCTCCAGTTATCGAAGTCTGCTTCCCACAAAAAGCAACACCTCCAAAACTAGACTCCTTTTTTAGGCTATGAACAAGTCCTTGGTGTTTTGACCAGGCCACTTCTTCACTACAGCTTTTGTCCTCAAGAAAATAAATAAATAAATTTAGAAAAAAAGGAAAAATCTGCTTTTTTTTTTTTTGAAAGTTCTGCAGATATTTTATGCCCCCTCTTTCTTTTTTTCTTTTTTTTTTATTTTGTTTTCCCCCCTTCTTACATTCACACAAGCAAAACAACAAGAGGGTCCTCTGATGAATGTGGCGGATCGCCATGGTTACGGTTCAGAGATGCGGCAAAAAGCAATTATGGTGGGACATAGTGGAGGAAAAAAAAAGGGAGAAGAAAAGCCCAACAGAGAAATGCACCTCTTTGTCAGAATTTCAGAACAGCTGTAATAACACTTCTGCACCCCAACCAGTGGAAAGTAACTGAAATATTGTGGCATGTTAAATGCCAACGCATTAAATACCAGGATTTCAATGTCACATTATTTAAAAAGACAGGAAGCATTAATTTCCAGCTGCACTTTCAGCTTGTTAAGTCATCTAGGGGGAATAGGGAAAAAGGAGCAAGTCCATGGCACGGGGCCTCACATTTTGAGGTGTGAAATAAAACACTGTTCAGCGAGGCAGTGGAATGCACTTGTAACAGATTTAATCTGACAGCAGCTGCGGTTTCCTATTTAAGCTTTGTGTGATTTATTTTTCCCCTTGGTGTTGGAGCTCCTGAAAGAGACGGCAACGCTCTCCTGACCTTTCCCAATCTGAGGATCTCAAAGCGCTTTATCCCTGTGCATTCGTTTTCACAGCCTATGATGGGTGAGGGAGGTGGGATGTCACTGTCCTCACAGAGTAGGTGACACTCACTCAAGTCTGATCTTCCTAGCCCCAGGATCACAGGTGGGATGTCTCAGTTTGGGCCTCTGCAATGGCTGGGAGAAGCAGGAAATTCCCATTTTACATGCTGTTATTTTAAGATTATATCAAATATAAAAACTGGATATCACAGGCTGGGATTATCTGTGAAGCTCATGTATGTCCCTAACACTTATTCCTATGCAGCTAGCAGAAGAATAGGGCTCACCTCTGCTCTTTCTTATTTGTATTTAATCTTGAGGGTTTCTATCATCAGCCTTACAGATCTATTTTTGGTGACAACAGCAGCATAAAGTATCTCTCTTCCTTCTCATACCTGTTGCATACTGCAGCCCCTGCGTTCTTGTCTTCCAGGCTATGAATCATATCAGGAACAAGATCCTGCTGAATTTTAACCCATGGAAAGAAGTAGAAAGTGAGAAATTACTGAAACGGATCTGTTTCTCACCCTGTTCACCAAGAGGTTCTGGAAATTGTAGTACAAAAGGCCAAGGGCAAACTGTGAAAGGTATAAAGGGTGATGTGCATGGTACACCCTGGATCCCACAAAAAAAAGAAGGGTGGGCAGAGCAATACAATGACAGATAGACAAAACAGCCCAAACAGGACAAAGATTAACCACTTCACAGATTATTTACCTCTTTTCTGAACACTTCCCTCCAGTTAATGCTTCCTGCCTCTTCACGGAAAAGAGCTCTCAGATTACACATCCCAGTTCCAGCTTTCCTCCATCTGGTCACAAGAGCAAGCTCCTCCATCCAGCCAGCATTGACTCACTGATGGGCTGAGAGAAAAAATTACATTTCCCAATTGGAGCAATAGCCAACTATTCCTTTCTTCTTTTTTTACTATATTATACCCAGCAAAATCAAAGCTCCAGGCTGCTTCCTCAAGCAAAAGAAATCTGAGAAAACCTGTGTATGAAAAGAAGATGCTAAATTTGAAGGAAAATGAAGTATTGCCAAGTCTTGTGGTTACATATCACAAGACTTACGATATTTTTTTCCTTAGCAGTGGCTTCTAAATGCAAAAAACAGTATGAATATCTTAGTATGAGAACAGGGGAGAAATCATGAAAAACAGAATGAAGGGACTGCTAAAGGTTCAGCAGTGAAACAGCCTAAAAAAAACCCCACAGAGCTTTAAATTCTTTTGCTTTTTAAAAGCAATCCACGATTTAGACAAACCTGTCGCAATCATGTTAAGAAGGACTGAGTAGCGGGGTATAAGTAAATATTGTCATGGGAGAAATGCTCTGTGGAGTGAAACCATGAGCTAATGTTGCAGGTTGTGCCTTTAAGGACAGCAACAGCAGAAGTCTCAAGAGCTAAACCAAACCCCAAAATGAAGTCTCCTCTAAATCCAACAGCTGGATGCACAGGGAGGTTGTGGTTTCTCAGAGTACTCCTCTGCTAATGCACCTTCAAGGCTTGTATTCTTTCAGCACTGGGAATGTAAACCTGAGAAGAAACAATAAAATATACCTCCAGAAAAACAAAATTAAGACAGCCTCAGTTTCCCTAGGCAACTTGATGAAATGTGGTGTTTGAACCCATTAAAATATTTTCCTCTATTAAAAATTGAAAAGATGATCAAAACGCCATTGGAGACTGGTTTCCAATTAAATTAAATTTTGGCCCAGAGCAGCTTCTTTTGATAAACTCTCAGAGGAATTATCAGAAACTCACACCTCAGGGAGGCTGGTTTAGCTTTTCCATTGTTAGTTCATACCTTTGGAGATGTGGTTTCCACCCCCTTTTCTCCCATATTATGAGCAGTTCCCAAGTGAGAGGTAACCAGCCTAATCAATGGGGCAAGCTGGGTGACTATCACCAAGCCTGGGGTTCCACCAAGAGTGTGGTACCTTGTCAGTGAGCACCAGAGCCAGAGTCAACTGATGAGGTACCAAGCTAGAAAGGTGGGTGAAAGAAGCTCAGCTCAAGCTGGGTGAAAGCAGAAGGTGTTTGCAGAATGTGCCAGGTGCTCAGAAGAAAGGTTGGAAGTACAAGCTAGTTTAGAAATTTCAAAATCCATCACTCCTTCCAAAACAGATTAGAGATACTAAAGACTGGAAACCTCACAAGTGAGCAATCTAGGAAACTCTTCTTTTGAGCATGGTTGTACTTCAGCTCAGCCCCTGAGCCAACTATGGAGGAAAAGGATCCAGAAGCTGAACAAAAGCCACCTTGCAGCAGCAGAGCTCTACAAGGTGCTAAGCTACCCCAAATAAATAGGATCTAGAAGCACACAGAGCCATTTCTAATCAAATAGTGTCTAAATGGGTAACTCCCTAGTGATGGACTCTGGAGATGGAAAGAAGATCAAAACAACCAAAAGTGCCACAACCCTCTGCAGCAGCAAGTACCATTGTCAAGGCATCCTTTGGTGCTATCTGCACTTAGCATTTATATGAGAGAGAGAGAAAAGAAGGAGTTTTAAAACAAAGGTTTCATTGCAGATTGCTCTTTTCTCATTGCTTTATCATTTGCTCTTTGCACATGCCAGATAAGCGGACTTGTGAACAGCTTTAATTAGAAATGCAGATTACATTGGGCCAGAATACAGTGGACACTTTCTCTCCAGCAATCCTGCTGGGAATACACATGGCCAGTTTGCTAAGAAACAAACTGATAGTCAAAGTTAGCTTCATTTTTAGGCTATACAGTCTGTGCAGTTGCTGTGCCCAGTTCATAAATCCAGCAGCTGTGAGTAATTCCTCATTCTTAAAGAATCTAATGCAAGAAAAGAACTGTGCTTCCAGTAGAAATGTCCACTAAGAGGGACATGGAGCTTCTGCTAGTGGTTTTATCCCTAGGTGGGATCAGACCTGATCAATGCTGAATTGGAGAGCTGCAACCAGAAAACCAGTGTGCTGTCTCAGACCTAACAATAGGCTTGAATACCTGAAAGCTTGTC